TCTTAATAGACATCTTTTAAAAAGTTCATTCTTAATCTGGAGAGATCCAAATAATTTCTATTAGTCTCTCAATGACGTTATGCCGACAATTTTTACGAAAGCCACTACAAAGGGTACCTCATCTAGTTGCGTGTGTGTGTGTGTGTGTACCGCTCACATATATTGTACTTATGTAAGAGTGGATTTCAGCAGATTGGTACTACTGAGTAGCCTAAAAATTTATCCGATTTTATAACTGCCAATGACGAAGATGATGATGATGATGATGATGATCAATGCTAAATATAAAAATATAATTAAATAATTTATAAACAAAATAAATGGAGCCCAAAGCCCTATGTCATTTAAGACAGGTGATTTGTTTAAATTTTGCAATTTGATAAAATAACAGAAATGAAAAAAAAATTGAAATAAAAGGTTTCAGTTGAAGTTGTTAATGTTTCTGGCATGCCACATGCCACATGCCACACATTGAATAAAGTTCGGCCACAAAAAATTATAATAAATCCAAAACAAAAAAATAAAAATACAATGAAATAAAATAAAATAAAAATAATAAAGGGAAAATGATTAAATGAAAGAAAATAATTTCAACGATGGCGAAAAAAATGAGAAGTTTGCATAAAAATTTCATTGTTCCAATACGAATGAATTGACAAATGCGAATGGAAAACTGCAAATGGAAAATGGAAAATGGAAAATTTAAGCAGAACAACAGTAAAAACTGCCACACGGCACTTATGAAACGGAAGTGGAAACAAAAAATCTAATATTTAAATATTTTTTGCCAACATTTTTGGTCACATTTATTCGGTTTTTTTGGTTGTTACTTTAATGCATGAATTTATAACCCAGCCAGGGCTAAAAAAACGTTAATAAAGAAACGGAACAAAAATAAATGATTACAGTATAAATTGTTTTTAAATAGGCCGTACTAACAATATATACGGATATTTTTCAAAAAAAAATAATTGTTAAACAAAGTAAATGGTGCGTATTGCGACAGGAACCAATGCTTTACGCGGCAATTGTTTAAACAGATTAAATCTGCACATAGGATTAAATTGGTTTCCTGACAAACTGAGTGTCATGAATTTGTTCCACAAACATTGTTAACATACTTTTATAGTATTTGCAATTTATTAATTTGATCAGATCTAGAGAAGTTAGATTGGGAGCGTAGAAAACTAAATCCACTTTATGCTTCCTTCATCCCATTAAGATATCAGAGATCCAAATGATCAAATGTATCTGTATAGTGGTAATAAGAGAACATATATATAATGTAAAAGTCTTCTACTAAATAGAAAAGTATTGGACTTGTGCGTTTGGAAGCTTTTCTTGGTAATATTAAATATATTAAGTTTAGCACTATTCATAATCACTTAGTTAATAGAAGGAATTTTCATGTTATCCAATTGAAGGTAACGATGGATGTAGTCAACCTACCAACAACTGATCCATTCCTGCCACAAGTGAAGAACCTTCCTTTATATAAGTCCTTCAACCAGTGAGGACTCCTTCTCACTATTCCAGTCATTAGTTTAAATAACCTGCTTCTGCGCACGTATAACCTTGAAAAAGTCATTAGTTTCACGGATTTGACATAAATCTAAGAGGTCGCCTTAAGGAGAGTAACTGAAAATTGTATACAGCACACAATTAAAAAAACTCAATGTTTGAGTTCCATGTCATTTATCCTAATATTTGCGCCAGATTACTCCTACCAATGCTCCTGTCGGTGTTCCCAGCAGTGTCGCACAGTTTGCCAGAGTTAAAATAAAGATTTGTGCCCAAATGTGGTCTTTATTTCAATTTTTTTGAATATCTGAAAAACTACAATACTTAAAAAAATAATACATGGAATACAAAATACTTTGTATTCCATAAAAAAAAAAGCAAAACATAACAAAATAAATAAATAAATATTAATAACATAACAGTACTTATTACTTTATACTCAATTAATTCGTTTATATTCATTTATTCTTATTTATATATTTATGTATATTTGTGTATATGTATATTTATATAAAATCAAACTTCCATAACTTGAATTTCTATAACTCGAAATTTCTATAACTCGAACTAAAAGGAGTGCAACAGGGTTTTAGAGAGCAAATTACATACAATTCTGCTTCCATAACTCAAACTTCTATAACTGGAATTTCTCTATAACTCGAACAAATTATTGTCACGTGTCAATAGAAATATGAGAAAATGCATTCTATAAGTCGAATTTTGGTTTTAAGTATGAATCCATTTTGGTGTTAGGGGAAGATCCTTTTTCCAAACCAAATGTTTAATAAAGCTTTAAAAAAGCGGGATTTGGTCAATTTCCTACATGGAACGAACAGGACGAGATTCGTTTGAGACGAGACTCGTTTGAAATTCTGAATTTTTTTTTAAAAACGAATGATACTACAACTGATGATCACTATAAGTGTTGGAATAAATCCCAAAGCCTTATTTTTGAATTTTTTACTTTACTATAAATTCTGTGCTGTATTTCATATCAAATAAATAAATATCTTAAAATGTAATTTAATTTTCTTTAAAAAAAAAAAAATAAAAAAATTCTCTACCTCGAAGTTTCCATAAATCGAAACTTTTCTTTGCAAAATTGGACTTTGCGTTATGGAAGTTTGATTGTATATATGAATACATATACAAAGATTTTTTATTTTGATTTAACATATTGAAGAATCTCATTTATATATTTACGTATTTTTTTGTATATGTGTATGTACATATATATATGTGTACTATTTATTTTAATTTCACACAATGAAAAATCAGGATTTAACACTATGTACTCTGCATAGTTTGTTATTTCTTTATCTTATTGTTTAAATAAGAATTGTAGCATATTTACTAATAAACTGATATTTATATAGTTAACTTTAATAAACAAAGCGAAATTCTCATTAATCCGAATATGTTTCTTGCAGTTGATGACAGCTTCATTATATCATTAACATTTGCGTTACGTATACGCAGTGTAGTTCATATTTTCCTTATTTGCTCCTTCATGGCAACGCAACTCACAAAAGAGTGCTTACTGCGCTGCTTTAAAATCAGAGCAGACGACAAAAAGGCAGCACAAGTTCAGCAATGAAACGAAACGCTGCTGTCAGAATCAGCAAGCGACAAGAGTAAAAGGAACATAAAACAACAAACAACAACAACAACAGCAACAGCAACAACAATATAAGCACACCAAGCAGACCGACTGGTTTATTAACAGCGACAACTTTTGTCATTCACAGCATGCACGAAATTTTTCATTATTATTATTATTTATTTATATTAAATTTATTTCTTCTTTTTTTTATTGTTTCTTTTTTTTTTTAGTGTGTAAATTTTTTCCTCTCCTTGCTTCATAATGATTTATAAGCATTAAAGCACTGTGGGGTGCACTACTGTGACTGCATAAATTGAAGACGCGTGTCGTGCTCTGTTGCTCTGCTTTCGCTGTCACAGCCACTCCAGCTTTCGGTCGAAATGCATTTGAACGCAAAAGTCGCTGGAAAATCAACAGAAATCGCATGCAAGCGACGCGCAATTGTAAATCAGCAACAACAACAACAACAACTTCTACTTTTCAGCTGTAAAATCAGTAAGTCAAGCACACAATGTTCGGACATCTACAATAAAACCACCACACACAGCTGGCCTATGCTACGCATATACACATGTATATGTGTATATGGGGAGATATACGGATTCATATGTGTATGTATGTATGTGTGTGTGCTGAAGAAGTAGAGTAAATGTGCTGATCAAAATTAGCCATTTTCATTGCGACACAGTCGTGTTGTGCCAACTGCTGTCATTGCTGTTGGTGGTCGATCCGTTGATATTTCAGCAATAACAGCTTTTGAAGTAGCAAAAGCACGTTCGCTTCACATAGAAGTTGACAGTTCCATCGGGCAAATACATTTTGTGGGATGAAGTTACTTATTTATTTGCAGAAAATTATAAAAAAAAATTATTTTAATTATGACGTACTGTATTATGCGATATATTTGAATGCAATTATGGTATATGTTTTAGTAAAATTTTAACAAATTTTTATCATATAAATTTCAATATTCCAAAATCCATATTAAAATGTACGAAGGATTTTCACAATCTTTTTAGTCAAGAAACACAGAAAAAAATTTTTATCTGCCTGAATACTTTCTGACTTAGTCTCAACCAATCTTTAATATCTCTAAATTGTATAGTCTAATAAAAGTATAAAAGTTTATAAAATATCAATTCAAGATGAACACCGGTTCTTTATTTGAAAAAATTATTATGTCGGAAATACCAATGATGGGACTTGAACCTTTTTGTGGACTACGACATAGTACGCTTCTTCCTCTCATAAAATTAAAGCTGAACCGGAATAGAAAGGATTACTTAGATAATATACCAAGATTATCACATTCCAAATAACTTATTGGTACCTATATAATAATAGATCCTGGTACAATAAGAGATACCAGGATTATGAATCTCTCAAAAGAAAAACTTAGAATAATCACCGGAATCTTAACAAGTCACTGTAAACTAAAATACCACCTTACAAGACTGATTATACTTACGAATGCAAACTGTAGATTCTGTGAAAAGATTTAGGAGTCGATAATATGGTACATGTGCTGTTAGAATGCTCTACGCTAATGCACATACGGAATAGGCTCCTGAGAATGTATATTCATATCGAATAGACAATAAAACTCTGTAAAGTAAGTTCTATACTACTTTTCATGTCAGCAACAGGGCTTAGAGACCTACTTTAAACGCAGTAGGGGGCACAATAGACCCGATGGTCGCAGTGCCACATCCTGTAACAATAATAAAAAAAATCATGTCGGAAATATTTCTGTTTTTATTTATTTACTATGTTTAAACCTCTCTTAATTTATTATCATATCTGTACTTTTATCTTATATATTTAAAGATAAAAACTTCTGTATTAAAAACAATATTTTATATTAATAGTTTATAGCAATAGTTTATGTTTTCAAAAATACGACTTTCATACATCGCTTACGCCTATGTCGATATCTTAACATTACCCATCTATAAAAACTAATTTTTTTAACAAAATACGCATTAATGGGTTTAACTACATGAGTTCGTAGAGAATTAACATCTATGACTAATGCGTACACTCTAAGTCTCGGCTTTCTAAAAAGAAAAACCACATCGATGCTGCTATTCTGAATGGAATAGATGGCGGGGTCCAATATCATGCGATGCATTTGATCTGATTTGACCTATGGCACTGCCACGAGATAAGCGACTTACGACACTTTCAGTAGTTTGTGGAAGTGTGGTGCGACTTACTATGGTTCCACGTGAATTAGCTGTATTATTATTTAAACTAATTTGGCTATTAACCGCATCGCGGCGATCCATCGCAGTACTGTTGACAATAGGTTGATCTCGTGTAAGTCCTTGATTAGCAACTAATTCTCCTTCTGCAACAGTATTAATTCTATTGCTATCGCCAACACCTACATCGCTTTGGTTCTGATTTTGCTCCAAGTTTCTGTGCTGATTGTCTGCCGGATTGCCCTTTATACAAACAAACAATACAATATATATTCACTGGCCAAATTAAATGATGCTAGTGTACTTACTTGTACTTTCCATTTTAAATATATTATAAACAGAAATCCAATCAAACTGGTAAATATAATTAGATAGATGGTGGAAGATCTATACCACCCAGACTCAACGTTTACTTTAGTAATTTCGACTAGAAACGAAAAAATTTGGTTAATTTTTCTGTCCATATTTAAAAAATGAACAGAATATATGTGGCAATTGCCGGCGGGCAATAAAATAAAGAAAACGAACAACTGGCAACGCTGCTAGTTTTGACAGTAGTAGTTGAGTTGAAAAGAGCGAGCGATGTTGACGGGCGCGAGGTGCATTTAAATAATTTTGTTTTATAATTTAATATTATTTTAAATATATTAATAAACTCTATTTATCATTAAATTAAATAAAGTTTTTCCTACATTTGGGGGCTCGACCGGGATCGCGGTGATCGAAAAAGCACGTGAAAATCAAAGCGCACAACATTGTGAAATTAAGTGTTGGGTTTTTTTGGTACAACAAAACTACAATAAAGCAACAGTAAAAAATGGATAAGCATGACGTCAGAAATTTTAGTATGGAGCAATTGAAAACTAAATTGTCCGAGTTGGAACTATCTACTGCTGGAAAGAAATCAGAATTACAAAGCCGTCTTATAGAACATTATGAGGTAAATGTAAAAAATGACGATGTCGACGATGACGAAGTAGCAAGCATACAAACCGTAACTCAGTGTGCGTGTGTTGCAGCTCGGTCTACATTTACTCTGCGTGACGTTGAAGATTCCTTGACTTCATTCTCGGGATCAGATCAACCTACGTTCGAGCAATGGGTAGAAGATTTTGAGGAAAACGCCGCAGCTGTGGAATGGAACGATGTGCAAAAATTCATTTATGCAAAGCAGTTGTTAAAAGGAACTGCAAAATTATTTATCCGCAGTCAACGTAATGTAAACAATTGGAAAATGCTAAAAGAGACGCTGAAGAATGAATTTGCTGTACAAATGTCTGCAATTGATGTTCATCGTGCACTGAGTAACCGACGAAAGCGACATGATGAAAAATTGCTTGAATACCTTTACAGCTTGATGGAAATTGGGAAGGCCACAAAGTTAGATGAAGCAAGTATAATTGAATATTTTATCGAAGGAATACCTGATTCAAGAATGAATAAAGCTGTATTATATTACGCCAAAAGCATCCGAGACTTGAAAGAACAAATTAAAATTTATGAAAAAATTAAAGCACCGAACACGAAGTACCAATGTACCAATGAGAACAAAACCGCGCCAGTGCCATCAAGCAAGCAACAGTCGAATTCAAACAGTATAAAAAAATGCTATTCGTGTGGTGAAGATTCACATTTTGCAAAACACTGTCCAAATAGACGTATAAAATGTTTTAAATGCAACCAAATGGGTCATAGATCATTTGAATGCAAAGTGAAGGTAGAAACTGAAAAGAACGGCGTATCGTTAGCATCAGAAGCAGAACAAACTACTTTGGGCTCATACAGTAATCGTCTTTTTAAAAACCTAGTGATAAATGATTTTCAATTTGCTGCTATAGTCGATACCGGAAGCGATATTAGTATTATCAGATATGACGCGTTGATGAAAATGGGAGACATTGAGTTGAACAAAACATCGAAAAGTTTTATTGGTATTGGAGGAAGCCAGATAACAACGGTAGGCAGTTTCGACAAAGATGTTAGAATTGACGAAGTCATTCTGCGAGTAACATTTCACGTTGCTAAGGAGAGAGACATACTGTATCCCGCTGTACTGGGAAATGACATTTTGAAAAACGTTGATATGATAGTAAACGCTGAGGGAGTCAAATTTGTTAAAAAAACGCAGAAAATGATTCAATACGCGAATGAGGTAAATAACACGAATACGAACGCTACAGGAAAATATCAAAAGAATAATGGAAATGAAAACAGTACAAACAGCGCTTCGATATTAACCGAATTTCAACAAATCTGTCTATCAACACTAATTGATGACGGTGCTGAAGAAATTGAAATTGATGTTGCTCATTTAGGAGGAAACCATAAAGCAGAGATTACCAAACTCATCAAAAACTATAAACCAGGAAATTCAATTGCATCACCGGTGGAAATGAAAATTGTTCTGACAGATGAAGTGCCAGTATATAGCAGACCTAGAAGATTGCCCATAGCAGAACAAAATATAGTTGAAAAGCAGGTAGCAGATTGGCTGAAGGCAGGCATTATCCAACCCAGCAGATCTGAGTATGCGTCGCCAGTAGTATTAGTATCGAAAAAGGACGGAACTAAAAGACTATGTTGCGACTATAGGAAGCTAAATCAAAAAATAGTGCGTGATAATTTTCCAATGACTTTGATTGATGATGTACTTCAACGTTTGGAAAAAGCTAAGGTGTTTACTACATTGGATTTGAGAGATGGATTTTTCCATGTGCCTGTGGAGCTTAGTTCGAGAAAGTACACATCATTCGTCACTCATAATGGCCAGTATGAATTCAGATTTGTTCCGTTTGGTATTTCAAACTCGCCAGCGGTATTTTGTAGGTATATCGCAGCAGCATTTCGTGAATTAATTCAAGATGGAACAGTGGTGATTTATATGGACGATATTATGATACCAACGAAGGACGAATTGGAAGGAATTCAAAAACTTAGAAGAGTGTTAGATTTGGCAAGAACATATGGTCTTCAAATCAAATGGTCAAAATGCCAATTCATGAAAAGAACTGTAGATTTTCTGGGCTACGTAATCGAGAACTCCACAATTAGGATTTCAGCAAAGAAGGTGAAGGCGATAGATGACTTTCCAACGCCACGAGGTAAGACGGAACTTCAGCGATATCTGGGGTTGACGTCGTATTTTAGACGGTTCGTTCCGCAGTATGCGTTGATTGCAAAACCAATGACTGATATGATGGGTAAAAATGCGAAGTTTAAAATTAATGACGAAGCAGAAGCAGCATTTCAACAATTAAAAGTGGCATTAACTAACCCACCAGTTTTAAAAATTTATGATCCGAAAGCATACACCGAGATTCATGCTGACGCGAGTAAGTACGGTTATGGTGCCGTACTGTTACAAAAGGATGCCGATGATGCGCAATTACATCCAGTCCAGTACATGAGTAGGAAAACCAAGCCAGCAGAACAAAATTATCACTCCTATGAATTGGAAGTTCTAGCAATTATCGAGGCATTGAAAAAATGGAGAGTATTCGTTTTGGGTACAAAGATAAGGATAGTGACCGACTGTAATGCCTTCGCAATGACCATGAGAAAAGACGACGTTCCGCAACGAGTAGCAGGGTGGGCCATGTATTTACAACAATTCAATTATGTGATCGAACACCGTACGGGTAGTAAAATGAGACACGTGGATGCGCTAAGTCGTGTGGCCTGTTTATTGATGGAAGATGCGTTGCAGCATAGAATCAAAGAGGCGCAACTGTTGGACGAGTGGATTCGTGCAGTTAGAAAAATTTTAGAGAAGAGTAATTACGATGACTACTATATTAAATGTGACATATTGTATAAAGATCCGAACAAGGAGCTCATGGTGATCCCAGCTGCTATGGAGCAAGAAATAATAAAAATCGCACATCGTCAGGGACATTTCGCTGCGAAGAAAACGCAAGATGTCATTGAGAAGAGTTTCTATATCAAAAATCTAGGCGCAAAAGTGATGACTGTGGTAAAAAGTTGTGTAGAGTGCATCTTAGCGGAAGCAAAACTGGGTAAAAAGGAAGGATTCTTGAATCCAATTGATAAGTCTGATAGACCGCTAAACACTTTTCATATGGATCATGTCGGACCGATGGAAAGCACCCAAAAGCAGTACAACCACATCCTGGTGATCGTTGATGCATTTTCTAAATTTATATGGCTGTATCCGACAAAAAGCACAGGCGCTGATGAGGTCGTGGATAAACTGCGTAAACAAGCAGCAACGTTTGGTAACCCAAGAAGAATTATCACTGATCGCGGGGCAGCTTTCGTGTCTAAGAAGTTTGAGGAGTATTGCAGAGAAGAACTTATTCAACATTTACTAATTGCAACAGGTGTACCGCGTGGAAATGGGCAAGTTGAGAGGATGCATAGAATTGTGGTACCAATGCTGACTAAATACTGCATGGAGAATCCAATGAACTGGTACCGACATGTTGACAAGGTTCAGCAAACGATAAACAATTCACCCCCTCGAAGTACGAATTTTACGCCATTCAAGATACTAACTGGGGTAGATATGCGCGTCAAAGAAGATGAAACCATGCGCAGTATTATGATGGAACATGAGGTTATAGAATTACAAAACGAACGAGATACTATACGGGAAGAGGCTCGAGAAAACATAAGGAAAATTCAGGTCGAAAATCGCAAAACTTACGACACTAAACGAACGACCGAAACGCAACATTCAGAAGGTGATGTTGTGGCTATTAGGCGTACTCAGTTTGGAACGGGGCTTAAGTTGAAACCGAAATTCCTCGGGCCGTATAAAATTGTCGAAAGGCTTAATCATGGACGGTATTCAGTGGAAAAAATCGGGGATACTGCTGGGCCACGAAGAACGTATGCAGTAGCCGAGGATATAAAGAAATGGCACCCCGCATTCGAGGCGAATGCTTCATCAGAATGGCCGAATGTGGCAATTGCCGGCGGGCAATAAAATAAAGAAAACGAACAACTGGCAACGCTGCTAGTTTTGACAGTAGTAGTTGAGTTGAAAAGAGCGAGCGATGTTGACGGGCGCGAGGTGCATTTAAATAATTTTGTTTTATAATTTAATATTATTTTAAATATATTAATAAACTCTATTTATCATTAAATTAAATAAAGTTTTTCCTACATATATTAGAAATATTTTAGAATTAAAAATTTGAATTAAAAATTTTCTTAGAAATAATTTTTAGCTCTTCTTAGAACACTCTCTATTAAGTTTTGTTAACAACTGAAATTTTTTTTTTTAAATTCAAACAGTAATTTTATTTAAAATATTTGATATTTGCTATGACAACTAGATTGAAATTTTGTGAAAATATGACAATATTTTATGCAGTGGATTTTTGATTGAATTTTATTAGATTTTTAACAACGGCGAAGTATAGACCACTTAAACCTGAAGACACGACAGGGTGCGGTTTTAAGAGGAGCAGCATTCATAAAAGATGGAACTGTTATCGATTTTCACATATA